CACCTCCAATGACAGCTTGTTTTCCATTAAATAGAGGAACTGTATCTCTCTCCCCACCCCCCGTGAATGTTGACTAATAAGAATTGGGGGTGGGTGGGAGGAGTGTGTTACAAAACACCAGGCCAGGGATGAGATTAAGGGTCACACTCTACATTCCAAACAGCTGTATAGATTACAAGAGGGAAGGCCTTTAAGTGCTCAAGAACATCCAATTCCCTGTTCTTTGCAATCCAGCTTGTTCTGCTCTCTGATTGGCCTCCAGGAGCAAAGCCCTGGCTTCTATCGGCAAGGAAGATCTGCCGGAATCACGTATCTACAACACTAAGAGATTTCATCTTCTAACGACAAGCTCTTTTGGCCCTGGTTGGGCATTGGAGAACCACAGGCGATTCGAGACACATTAAAGTCAAGTCCTGAAACGGCGTAGTGAGGGCGTCTTGTGTGTGTGTTTTGCCTCCACTGTGCTCCACGCTTGGACCTCCTTCGTGGGGATCCTAGGCTGCCTTCCCTTTGCCAATCCCAAGGGGTTAAAGAGTCTAACCTGAAAACCTTCACTTTACACGGCTAGATAAAAACACCACCTCAACTTCCAGCCTGTTAAGACAGTTGCTCCCACTGCATCACCACATGGTTCCAAGAGTGAAGCTCCCGACATGGCATGGAAGTCCTCTCCGGTGGTGGCCTTGGGCTCAAGGGATGGGGTTCTTTACCCATTCAGCTCAGCTGCACCTTTTCCGGCTCTTTCTGAATGCGGTTTTAAAATATATTGGCCAAAATCCTGTTGCACGGTTACGCGATGGGCATGACTTTTAAGGGTGAATTGTCCTTAGGAATCTCTTATGTATTGCACACTGAGCCGCATGACTCAATGTGCAGCAGAAAATGCCCACCAGAGACTTTCTTAATTTCTGTTGCTGAAAATGACACCTTTTTGCGTGAGTATGTAACAGGATTTTGGCCACTGGGTTACATCCAGTTTTAGCCACGCTTAGAGCTGGCCCACTTGAAATCAACAGGGACTAACTAGTTCATCATAACTAACTCAAGTCCTATGGCTGACAAGGGGTCTCCTTAAACACAACCGGATCCAAATCCCAAACGCTCTGTCGTAATGCAGCCGAGAGAGCGCACGGGCGAGCGTGGGGGGGGGGGAGTGCCCCACCTTCCTCAGAGGCTCAGCCCATAAAGGTCGGGGACCGCTGCTTCAAAGACCGGCTTCAGATAATTCCCACAACCACCTCACAGGCCTCAACCAAGCCGCTACTTCAAACACGAGCAAACCCCCTGCTCCACGGCAGGTTTTCCTTGACCTCAGTGGCTCTGCCTCACTGAGCAGGAGAGCAGGTCCAGCCTCGCCATAGAAAGCCTGCATGGGGACTCTGCCATAAAACACGACCGGAAAGAACCAGGTCCCGTGCTGCTACAAAAAAAAAAGGGAAGATACGGGGTTGTGTTTATTTTAAAAGCAGGGACTCTAAAAATAGGAGTTTGATAGATTTGCTTTTTATTTTTAGTCAGTACCTTGACAAAGTCCCTCCGACCTGCCTTTTCAGCTACTCACACGTGTACCTCCTGACGCAGTGGGTGAGGACGCAGCCCCCTTTGAGATGGCGCCTTTGTCCGGATTTTACGATACGTTGACCGACGCACACGCCGCATTAAAAATGCATCTGTTAGTAAAAGTATAGAAAGCTGTACATACGAAGGAGGCTTGCATACAAAAGCATGCATTTTATGCAAAGTTGCCCCCAACAACAACAGTTACGTTGGGGAAAGGTGCTTCTTTAGTTGCATAGAAAAATCCGTGTGTGTGTGTGTGCGTGTGTGCTTTTTTCAACAACCATCATCACCACCACAAATCCACACATTGGCTAGAACTTGTGATTATATAGCTGGTGATGTGACCGTAGTCTGAACCACTGCTCTCTAGTTTTTGGAGACAACTTATTACCTTATTCTGTGCCATAAAGCATGTCCCAAAGCATGAAGCTTAGCCCAATGGTGCCGGCAGAGGCCTAGTCTCATGATCGCTTTCGTTGTTCAACGCAGCCTGATGGAATTCCACCATCCTATAAGGAGCGGCATTGTATCCCTGTCTGTCCGTCCGTCCGTCTGTTCATCTACCCGAGAATTATAGGCATCCTCAGGTATTTTAACGGTCCCTTCCAGAAGGGAGAAAGCTGGTTTCCTGAAAATACAGAAAACCTGGCTCCATGGATTCAAAATAAAAGAGATTCTAATTAAACCTCCAACGGATGGCATTGGGAGATGGTCTCCTCAAGACTTTTCATCTCAATCCTGTCCGACTCAATGTCAAAGCCCACCCGCCCTTCACGAGTCTGAAACCTGGAGGTGGGTTCTTGTAAAACCGAACCTGCTGCAGACTTTATCGGCTGCAGGTCAGAGCGATGCAGTCGCTTGTGAGGCCAGGTGACCCCCACCCCCATGGGCCTTTGAGGCCTGCAAGATGCTCAGGGAGTGGCCAGTCCTTGGCCCCCCTCCCAGTTTGGTCTGGGCTTGGGCAAGGGCTCGAAGCCAGATCTCCCGAGTGTCCCCCGCCCTCCGGGCACCCTATCGAAAATACACCGCCCGGCCTCTGGAAATTTTAGAAACAAACGTACAGTGGCTCTCAGCAGGAGTGTGACTGTATTGTAGCGTGCACATTCTCATTGGGTATGATTTCTACTGGACACTTGAGTCACAGAAGGCAGCTTCCCTCAGCCGAAGCGTGTGCTTCGCATTCCCCCATCGGAGCCCATCCGTTTCCTCCCAAAATCCTTTTTTGGCACAGCTGATCGCTGTGTGGCAGCAGCACCTGGGAACAGCCTAGAGCCCTCGGTCCAGGGAAGAGAGGGAGGGAGAGGGAGGGAGAGGGAGGGAGGGAGGAGGAGGTTTCTCTTCAGATTCAGTCGCCTGCCCTGACAGCAAGGGGCAAATCTCTCCAGGGCAGTTGGAATCATCAGCGCTTGGAAACAGACTTTTTGACAAAGGAATCCGTTACAATTACATTTCCAAAAAGCGGATGGTTGCTGCAGGAGTTGTCACTTAAAAAAAAAAAGTCTTCACGCTTACCCAAAGTGTTTTTTTTGCTTTTTGTACTACACTACCCAGGTGCCACTGCATGTTTCAACCCCAAGCATGGAGTATAAACCTGTCGACTCGGGCTGGCTAGAGCATTCAACACACCCTTCGGTTGGACGTACAAAGGGCTGAGAGAAGGGAATGGGGGAAAAAACGTGGGTAGGGGCTTCCTAGCCAGCAGCGAGTCGGAGGGAAAGGCCTCCTCCTCGCCAGCTGCTTTTTGCACCCAAGGAGATTCCCGTTGTGGAGCGCGGGGGGGGGGTTCGTCGTCATGTTGATATCAATGGAAAACTTCAGAGGCGAGTGTTTTCCACGAGGTGGACAGCAATGAGGGGAGAAGAAAATCAACAGGCCACCCGCTGTTCTCCTGATCACTGACAGGATTAACACTGTCCCCTACCCTGATCATCATTTCCCTCTCCCTTGCTAAAAATGCTCTTTGCAATTTTTTTAAAAAAAGTAATCACCTGAATGCCAAAGGTAGAGGCCAAGGGACATCATCGCACCTGAGAGCACAGCCCGGACCCAGAGGGTGTGGTCTCTGTTGCAAGGGGTGAGGAAGAGACCCACCTTCTTCTGCCCCCACCAAAGGGGCCTGGTGGTCTCCTGCCCGATCTCAGAGACCTGCCAGCCAGAGGGGAAAAGACTGAGCGAGGGAGGGAGGGAGAAGCCGAGGCAGGCCAGGTCCCAATCTGGGCCACCCACAGGCATCGCCCAGCGTGCCCAGCCCGCCCTGCTGGCCTGCGGTCCTTTCAGCTCACCCTCGGCCCTTTGGGCTGGTTGGGGCGGCCTCCTCATTCTGCCGAAAAGCCGCCCCTCTTTTCCTTTCCCTTCTGAGCTGGCGCAGGACAGCGCCCTCGGAATTCACTGCCCGGGCTCCCTGGTGGTGCCAGTTTGATGCACACGTTAGCAAAAACATCTTTGCGGCATTCACACACCCTGGGGGCACTCGCTTTGAGAACACCGTTGTGCCACCTGCTCCCGCTCAAACACACACACGGACAAGGGGGGGAGAGTCAGGTTTGCTAACGGGCTTTTCTCCGGAGCTTGCAGACCAACACGCACATGCATGCCCAAGCACATACATGCCCACACGCAAGAAATGCCGCCCGTAGGGAAAGGTACGGGTGCACGCTCACACACAGAAGGCTCATCCCCGAGACTTGGGAGGCGGTTGTCTCCCCTTTCCTCCCCCAAATCAGGCGATCCTCACACAGCTCTTCCCCCGTTGCCAATGACTAAATGCCAGCTGGACTTCAGAGGCGCAAAGCGAAAGGGTGCCAGTGACCCTCAAGAGCACCAGCCTTGTTTCTGGACCCTTCCCTTGTTACCATATCACACACACACACACACCGACACACACATAGCTCAATGAGATCTCTAGTTGGAAAAAAAACCCCACAATAACGCTTCTTGTTGCTAGCTTTCCAAACCCACAAGCGGGAAGGATCAGCTCAGCTGCGGATCAAACCTTAAGCCCTTCTGAACATCCCACACAGCTAAGGGGGAACCTTCCTCTCCCCCCCCCCACTTTCCATCCTCTGATCTTCCTGATATGTTGGGACTGAGAAATGGCATATTTGCCGGATATGCTAGAGAGTCAGGCACTTAAACGTGAAGAACTGGCGCCTTCGGTACGAAAAAACCGGGGGGGGGGGTTGGAATGAGGGCCGGAGGGGGCTCTCCTCAGGGCAGGACCCCCTATTTGTGTCATTTTCCTCCTTCTACTGTATAAATCCACCCCCACCCCCACAAAGATGCACACAACCAGACAGTTCAAGGTTATCGAGCAGCTTGACCAGAGAATCAAGGACACTGTGGCTTTGCCGGTCCTGCGCCCCCCCCCCCCCCCGCCCCACCAGTCTACCCTGGTGCTGGACGGCATAACCGGGCGGACATGCATTTGTAAACAAGATGAGAAATGGCGGTGAGGCCACCTTCCTTGTCCCCAAGCAGGGAGTGGAGGGCGGGGAACGAGAGAGAGACCTGCAGGAGGCGCAGCAGCTGGAGAGCTGTCCCTTGGCCCAAATGCAGGCCTTCCAGAAGGGGGACCCGAAGACAGAAGGAATAATGGTGGTGGGCAAAAACCCATCCACCCAAAGAGTCCCCAGCCGGCCGGCCGGCCTCGTGCTGTTTCGTGGGCTGGAAGGATTTGCCACCGGCTCCGCCGGAAAGGACTGCCATTCCCCCCCACCCCAAGGCCAAATCCGGCATGCAGCTGGGGGCGATTCCACACACACACATACACACACATACACCTTGCAAAAGGGGGGGGGGAGCAAGATCAAAGACAGCTTGGAGTTTCTACCCGGGGTATCTTTCCTTTCCTGCCCGATCATCACAAACCGGGCAGGCACCAGTCTCGGAAAAATGCCCGGAACAAAGTTTGGGGCTTCTCCTGGTGGCCCTTTGCTTACAAAAGGTGGGATGATGTTACCTCGATGAGGCAATAAAGAAGAAAACAGGAGTTATCTTTCCTCACCCCCATCCTTTCAAAGAATGGACTTTCCTTATTGTCGAGTGAAAAACGAGACACAGGTTGCAAGGAGAGAGACAGACAGAGAGTAAGAGAGAGAGAGAGAGAGAGACAGGGGCGCGCGTCCCCTCTCTGGCGTTGTGCATGCACATGGTGCAGTTTTTGGAGGTGTTTCTGTTTTGCCTGCGGTGTGTGTCCCATGGGGAGCTTCTTGCGGCTTCCTCCATTCCCCCCTCCAGCCTGGACACCACGGGCCTGACTGCGCACGTTACGCACAAACACGGAGCTCTCGGGATGATAAAACTCATCAATTTCCAGCGTGCAAGAACCGCGCCAGTTTCCTGCTAGCACCAGTCATCCTCGCTTCGTTCGTGGTAATAGCTACGTGCTCGGGTGCTGGTTCCGGGGCCACCGCTGAGGCCCAGGGTGTAATGATAGCCATTAGGGACTCTGCGGATCTGGTGGGACTGGGAAGTCAGAGAGGAGACGTAAGACGTTCGGGAGGACCTTCCCGAATTGGTCGCGAGCGCTTCCTCAAACGTCAGCGTATCTTCCGGCACTGCGTGGTATAGACTGTCGCCGTCTTCCCGGTGACCCAAGTAAGGGTCCGAACCGATCCGCGACACCAGGGGTTGCGAGGGGACACCCTGGGCCTCGCCGTGCAGCAACGCGTTGTGCTCTGAGAGGCCCCGGCTCAGGCGTCCCGGGGAGAAGGTCGGCAGGCTGGTCTGGAGCCCCGGGAAGTGGACCGGCGAGGAGTTGGCGGTCTTGTAGGTGACGCTGGGGCGCGGGGTCAGCGGCGTCTGCGGCAGCTGCCTCCGGCCACGGCAGGGGGTGCTAGCACCAGAGGTCATCAGCAAGGGGCTCCCGTTAACTGAACCACTGCCCTACATGAAAATTGGAACAAAGCAAATGAACAGGACGACAATGCACGGACACAGAGGCACGAGAAAGAACGGGAGCCGGAGGGAGGGATCAGAGAAGGCAGCAGACAAACACACCAAAGAAGCAGCGTATGGAAGAGGATCAACCAAAGAATGGAAGAGCACGTGAGGTGGACAGACGGGCATGTCAGGAGATGAAAGAAAAAGGAAAGGATAGAGTTTAGACAGGCACAACCAGGGAATGGGGCAGGGAGGCACTGGCAAGGACCAATCGGAACTGGACGCGCAGAGACCCAGAAGAACCAACGACTGGGAAGGTGAGGGGGTTCCAAAGGGAAACATCGACCATCAGAGCAACAGGGGTGGGAAGCAGACTGTTCTGGGGGGAAAACATGTCCCATCCAGGCATGCCCAGACATCAGCGATCCCCACCATGTTGGGAAGGTGCCAGAACCGAGGGGGTGGTGTGGGGTGGGGAAGAGAGGCACGTCAAGGGGTCTGCATCCTCTTCCGCAGCCCACCCCCACCCCCACCCTCCCACTGCTTGGGCGCTCACCTGTTTCTGTGCCCCGTGGTCCTGCTCTCCATTCGGGGAGGTGGGCTGGCTGCGTTCGGACGGCTTGGCCTGGGACGGCTCCCGGCTCCCGAACCGATCGCAGGAATAGAAACGTTGCTTTTCCGAGGAAGACGAGGAGTGGAGCTTGCGCTCTTGGGACCGGCCTCGCTCCTGCTTCTTGCTCTTCGAGGCGGCCTCGCCTGCTGGGGAGACCGAAAGAGAAGGCCACTGAGGCTGAGAGGGTACCGTCAGCAGGCCACGAGAGAACAGAGGTTCCTTCCACAGATGATCTTGCAAAAGGAGCTTGCTTCTGTGCTGTGACTGGCCAGGGAGAGTTAAGCCCAGGCTCATTTGCAAGTCCAACTGCTCAGGCATGGAGCTTTGAAGGAACTCCGTGCCTAGAGGCAAAACCGCTGTAATGGTAACATTCCCCTTAACACGTGATTTCACCCAGAACGAAAGAGCTGTCATCAAGCAGCCCGAGACCTTCTCTCAATGGTGGGGGACAATTCCTAGCCAGCTGTGGTTCTCCTGAGGTGTAAGCTTTGTCCACAGAGTCATCAAAACATATTACGTGTCCCGAGGCTGAGTATTCTACTGGGGATTTCCATTCATTTAACATTCTACAGTTGGTTGCACTTTTTCGTGATTTTTTCCCCCCCGCTGCACGAGTGGCTTAACATCTGATTGTACAACTTGTTGTGCAACCGACATCATTTCGGAAGAAGGCCAGTGCTATTTTACATTGCATTAACAGAAGGATAGTCTCCACATCCCGTGGGGTACAGGCTCCCCTAGATTTGGCACTGATTAGGCCTCCCTTTGAGTCTTGTGTCCAGTTCTGGACACCCCACTTCAAGAAGGATGCCGACAAACAGGAGGGGCATCCCTGTTCCTATTCACCATCAATTTCTTTTTGCACAAAACCTGGCCTCACCGGGAGCGCCGCTTTCAGCTAAATGGCTGGGCGGCTTGTCCATAGATTTCTGCTTCCTCTCTTTCCGCCGATGGCAGCGGTGATGGTGGTGGTGGTGGGTGTGCTCAGCTGGCCGGGAATGTTCATAGAGGTGCGCGGTATGGGGACGCTGCGGGTTCAAGGTGGAGATGGAGCGCTTCATGGGGCTTGTGTCCGGGATGGGCTGCAGAGGAAGGTGCGGTGAAGAGAGAGCAGGGGGAAGGGGAACAGAACACAAGGTGATTCACAGGGCTGAGGAAACCCCATGAGTAACACACTCTTCCAATTTTTCTGAAATCCAACAGAATCTATGGAACTCCCTGCCACAAGATTTTCTCAATACAGTACTTTGATTTCCATCAAACCATTTCTTAGACTCTTTTCACTGGAAGACACAGAGTGGTTTACAATAAAAGCAAATACAAAGAAAACCAGTTGCTAAAAACAATGAAAATCCTACAAAAAAGGAGAATGATGCAAGCTTTTACAAACATGAAAAATCATGCTGTGGTCATAGATGGAGATGATTTTAAGAGAAGGTGTGACCCACTCATAAGGCCCATGGGATATAAGTCAGTGGTTCTTAACCTTTGTTACTCGGATGTTTTTGAACTGCAACTCCCAGAAACCCCAGCCAGCACAGTTGGTGGTGAAGGCTTCTGGGAGTTGCAGTCCAAAACTCCTGAGTAACCCAAGGTTAAGAACCAGTGATATAAGTGACTATAACCATGAAAAGGCTCAAAAGGTTATGAGGGATGGTAATTTAGTTATCATTGGAATTCTAGGGGTCCTCCATGTAGCTAGTTACTAAAACAAATATGATTTTTAGAAAGTAACTCTATACTTTCAAAAGCAGTTGAATACCATATTTTTCTGTGTCTATACTTTTGTCTAAAATCTTTAGACGAAAAATTGAGGGTCATCTTATACACGGAAGTAAGCTGAAGAGAAAACAAAAACAAGTGGAGGGGAAAGCAGGGATCAAAGTGATGCTGCACGGCTTTGATCCCTGCTTTCCCCTCCACTTGCTAAGCCTTAGCAAAAGGAAAGCAGGGATCAAAGTGCTGCAGGATCACTTTGATCCCTGCTTTCCCCTCTGTTTGCTAAGTCCCATGGGGCTTAGCAAAAGGAGGGGGGAAAGGATCAAAGCAATTCTGTGGCTGTATAAGGGGAAAAGGGATCAAAATGATTGTGCAGTCGTGGGATTGCTTTGATCCCTTTCCCCCTCCTTTTGCTATGCTTAGCACAAAGGGAGAAAGCAGGGATCAAAACCATCCTGCAGCGCTTTGATCCCTTTCCCCCTACATTTGTTAAGTTCCACTTAGGTTTATTAATTTTGGGTTAGAAAAGTGGAGGGGGTGTCTTATACATGAAGCCGTCTTATACATGGAAATATACGGCAATTGCTTTATATAAAGAAAAAAATTCACAGTGCTATGAGGGGATGGCCTGGGATGTAAACCACCAGACGCCCATCATCCACACTTCACACTGATGTCTGACAACAACAACCAAGCATGAAGCAAGAATGCAAGGCAGCTCTTCAATCCACCCCTACTCTTTAGTCCCACCCCATGGCAGTTAACCACAAAAGTAACCGTCAGCCTTACGATGACATCACAAAGGGCATGAAATGATCTTAAGCTACAGTGGCAATGTAAATCAGCTCTAACTTGGGCAAGTGGTGATTTGCAACCTGTTACTTCCACGCCATGATCTTGAATCCATCTCCCCAATTAGAAGCAAGGGATATGACGTTTTGTCCAGAGCACAGCTGGGTTGAGCAGATGTTTCTGTGGGGCCACATCCTCTGCGTGCTCACGCGGCCCCTTTCGAAGGCCTGCAGAGGCAGGTCTGGTGTCTTGAAGAGCTGGCCTAGGCCAGGACTTCCCAACCTTTGGGTCCCCAGGTGGATGGACGACCCACTCCCAGAGGCTTCTGGGAAATTTGGCCCAAGAGTATCTGGCTGAAAACCGAAAACCGAGAGCTAAAAATCGAAGGATTCATGACCGTTGGACAGATGTCAAGAGGATACCACTGAATTCACGCAGGCTACGTACGGCTAGGTAAGGCCCCAGCGATCGCCCTTGACTCCTCTGCAAGCAATTTGGACAGACAGACAGACAGACAGACAATGGGAAGCATCCCCCAACCAGCGGAACCGTGGGTCAGACATCATAGCGAGTGTCCAGCAGGCGAGATGGTGATGATGAAGATGACCAAGGAGAGGAGGAAGGGAAGTGGAAAGAGGAGGAGGCGGAGGGAGAAGAAGAAGGGGTGGGTGGGGAGAGATGTCACAGGCAAGGTTGTTTGGTGGGAGGGAAGGGGGAGGAAGGAAGACAAAAGAGACAGAAATGGGTGTTAGTTCAACAGGATCCATGGAACAAGATGGGAGGCCCAAGGAAGAAACATGTCCTTCAAGCAGAGCGGAGAAGGAGAAGACTGCCACCTTCTCCTACGTCATGGCTCAGACATCTCCGGAGGGGGAGGGGCCTTGCTTGCACATCCCTGAGCCGTCCCCCAACACTGAGGAGGGGAGAGGCAAGGGGATATTTTGGAGAGATCCGTTGGAGCGTTTGCAACCTTGCATGCCGCCTTTAGTAAGTCTGCCTGCAAGGGTCTTTTCTGGGCTGGGGCGACAGTCAGTCATTAACCGCACTCAACAATCGTTCTTTCCCTGCCTCTGATTCAAAGAGAGCCTCTGTGCTCTGCCTTTTCCACCTCTCTGTAGTCTGTGGGAACCCGTCAGTGACTCTGTTGAGGACTGTTGCTGCAAGCAGTCATGTTTGTTTCCAGTTCGTTGTTTGAGCTGTTTGACGGTAAGTAAAGAAACATGTCTTATTCTTTCTCTCTGAGTGAGTTATTGAGCCCATAAGTGCCAGTTGATGAGAAAAAAAAAGGATGGGCGAATCTGGGGGACTTGGAGCTATTCTCTTCTGTGAGTCCCTGCACTTTAACCAAAATTCAAACCAAGATCTCCTTCCCTCATGTTTGGAGAGCAAGTAGATAAGTAAATTGGTAGGTGGGGCTGTGAAGAACCTTCGTCCCAGGAGAGGGAAGACAAGGTTTGGGAGACCTGGCTTGGACTCGCCTAGAGGAGAATTATATAGCTGTAATGCTGACTCTGGATCCAAGGCGCGCCCTATGAGCTGCTACGTTTAAAGCTCTTGCTTTGTGTAGTTTTCTGAGTTTGGACCATTTCAACGTTCAGGGACAGGCCCTCGGGGTCATGACCTCCTGTTGTCCACTTAGGGGCGAGAGCAATCTTTCAACAGCCAGAGAAGAGTCCCCCCCCCTCCAACATGTGAAAGAGGGACCGGAGGGAGGAAGAAAAGGGAGCACCATTGCGTTTCACGAGTGAGCGCGCAAGCGGCGCCGGAGAGGGACACTCCCGCGTGTTCCGTGGGGGGCGGGTGGGTGTGAATGCGGGACCCTGACCAGTCAGCAAAGTTTCAAGCCACAAAATCCTCCTCCAGCAACCCTGAGCAGGACGGCGGCTGAAGGGAAGATTTGCTAGGAGGGAAACGGGCAGCCAAAGAGAGGCCTATAAGCCACCGAGGGAGCCTGGTTACCTCCATCTTGGAATTGATTCCAAAGCGTCCCAGAACGTGGAGTTCGAAGAGGCTGCTGAAATTCTGGGTTGGCAGATCTCTCAAAGCCACTCTGCTGAATTGCATGAGGGGAACCATCATCACTGTATAGGATTAGAAGCTTGTGTAACTTGGTAGCAGCCCATGAGTGCAGAAAAGGCCAACTTCCTAATGGAGCAGGGGGCTCTTCGTACGAGCGGGCTCAGGGAAACACGCGGCCGGCCGGCCATCGCCCGCTGATGAAAGCCGACCTTATGCTGGGCTCCCTGGTGCGATGGACCTGCCTGACAGGTGGGATAAGCAGGCAGGTGCATGCAAATGTACGGACTGGATAGACATTTAAAAACATGGCCGTTCAATAGGACCCAGAGAGTCCTTGACTTTTGTATTGACGGGAGGCGGACACGTGGCAGTGGTTCCCAACCCGGGGTCCCCAGATGTTCTGGAACTGCCGCTTCCAGAATTTATGCCTATCACAGCCATGGGTGAAGGCTTATGGGAGCTGTAGTCCAAGAACACCTGGAGACTCAAGGTGGGGAACCATGGACATATGGAGAAGAACTATGAATGCTATCATCACTGTTTATGACCCCAGACACTTTTTACAAGAGAAGAAAGAAAGAAAGAAAGAAAGAAAGAAAGAAAGAAAGAAAGAAAGAAAGAAAGAAAGAAAGAGAGAAGGAGTTGAAAAGGTGACTCCCTGCCCCTCTCCCATGGACAGCAAAGCCTCTCGTGCTCACCTGAGTTTCAGCGGCCAGGCGTGGCATGGAAGCAGCTCGGCCTTGGCTCTCCAGGCCAGGCTGGTGCTCCCCGTTGGCCAGGGTCGGGCTCATCTCCCGCATTTCTACCACCTACAGGAAAGCAGGGGTAGAATCTCAATTGCAAATTCAAAGCTGACCAAGGGAGGGTTTACATCAGAGGGAGAGGTAAGATTAGAGCTCGGAAGTAATCAGTGAACATTAATTCACGGTCCTGCTTCATTAAAACTTCCAGCAATGAATCCAACATGTTTTGCTTTAACAATCAAACGGGCTCACCGCACTGTCCTAATTTTCCCTACTGCACGAAGTCACAATGGTCATTTTCTAAGCAATGAGTTTAACGAGTTAAGAAATTAGCAAACCAAAAAAACCAAACAACAAACTCTCCACGGACTTATACATTCATCAATGAAATGAATTAGCTCCACATTTCTCAAGACCAACCGATTAAATTCCCTTAAGGGTTTAATATCAATACAATAGTCCTCGCTACTCATGTTTCTAACCTCCAACCCAATTCTCAGCGAACAAGAATCCCGGACGGTCTGTGCTCTCTTTGAACCCAGTCTAAGTGCTTTCCACAAAACCGGAAGTGGCTTTCTAACTTCCTAGATCCTCTGCTTCTGTCATGAAACGAAGGCCAATTGGAAAGAGAGACGGCAAAGGCATATGCCTGGCAGCACCGGAAAAGTTCATTCCGATGGGGGGAAATCTCCCTTAAAGCAACTTTTCTGTCTGATGGGGAGTCACTGCAGCCCACCCCACATTGAAAAAGCAGGAGCCGTACAGCTGGACCAAAACAGTCCGGCTGTTGGACTGCAGTACATTTCCTCCTCCTGTGTTGTGTGAGCGCCAGGAAACAGATAGCACCGGATCATGGCACCTGAGGTCCAAATTGCAATCGGTTTCCCCCTGGGATCATACCCTATCTTTGTCTCTGTGTGCATGTGTTATCCAAATCAGAAGAAACCTGCCCTCAGGCCCCATCCCCGTGGGCTTCATCTTCACCTGTTTGCTTGCCTGCGCCACAGGAATTTCTTCGGAGCGGCCTCGCTCAAAAGCGGGTGTCCTCGTTTCGTAGAAGACATCTTGCGTCCTCTGAGTCCCCCAGGAAACAGACTCCTTGATCCGTCTTACTTCTGGTGTCGGCCTGGTGCCCAAGGAAGAATTTGCACAGCCCGTAAGAGCAGAGCGGCGAAGGTCGCGGACCTTCTTCTTCCCAAACCAGAACCCAGCGAGGCGGTGCAGGCCAGAGACCCTGAATTCCCCGCAGGAGCCCTCAACCGGCGCTTGGGCTGGGCAAGCGCAGAATTTGGGTCGGAGCTTCCATGACTGGTGCCACTCTTGCCCCCCAGCCTGCCCGCTGGCCCACACACCCCACCTCCACCTGTCCGGAAGGGCTGAGACATCTCTGGGTACTCACAAGGCACCGCCGTTGTTTAACGAGGCCGAGCTCTTTTGACGCAGGAAAGCATTCGGAAAGGCAGGCTGGCTCTGCTCAAGCGCCGCTTTTAGCGGGTGGAAGAGAGACACGGTTCCCGTCTGCAAAGCACAAGAAGAGGGGCGGAGGAATACCTGGGCCTTAGGAAGGGCACTTCTTCCATTCTGCTCATTTCGGGCGGAGTGCGAGGGCCCCGGGAGGGAGGGAGGGAGGGAGGGATCTGCCACCGAAGATACTAGAGCGCCCCAAGGCAGCCTCACTCTCATCTCCCAGTTGCTTCTAACTTAGCAGGGCTTTCAAAGTGTGTCAAAGAGGGTCAAAGAGTTGTTTATCCCGCAGGGAGTTTCTGTGGCCAAGCAGGGATTTGAACCCAGCTCTTCCGAGCCCTGGTCCAAAACTTTCGCTGCAACCCGACACATGGCTCTTGTCCGGTTCGATCAGAGAGGGAAGAAGAGAAGGGGCTCACCTGGCCAAGGCCTCCTGGCGCCGGATGAGAAGGATCCCGGGTGTTCTTGTTTTGTTTGTAGAAGTCAAATATCATGAGGGCCGCATAGACTTTCCCCACAGTCATTGCTTCCGCTGGACAAGGAAACGCAGATGGGAAAGAAGACCAGAAGGGTCGAAAGGAACGGGGGGGGGGGGG